GTGTGTGCAAAACTGAGGCTCTTCCCCAGAGACCTGCTGCAGCGCTGGATTGCTCCTGCGGGGAACCGTGGGCTGCCTGCCCGCAGCTGGAACAGGGATGCACGGGGGGAAGACGCAGGAGCGGCCCGTGCTTTGTCTGCTGGGAGGCCCAACCTTTTCCTACTAGCCAGCCTCCTCCAGGCTGCCAGGGCTGCTGCAAGGGAGAAGCTCGGGCACGGAAGGGTCACCCAACCGGGAGAGGAGAGTCAGCCGGCGTGGGGGCTGCCGTACGCTTCTCAGCTTCGCCTGCGTGATGGAGCACTCCTGCTCGAGTTCGTGGTGGGTGTGCTGCCAGAGCTACGGGAGCGCTTTGGTTTCGTACACTCCCGCAGCTTACGCAGAGTAGCTTTTGTTAGCTGAGCAGGGCCCAGGAGTGGAGGAACTGTTCAGATAATTTTAGACATTGCTCATAATTTTTTTTTTTTTTATTGGGGTGACCTTTCTTTAGCGAGAGCCTGCAGTCTGTCACTGAATCTGGCTTGCTCCCTCCAAACTGCGTGTCAGCTGCAGTGATCTGAAAGCTTTGCTCAGAGCTTTAAGCTTTGAAATACTCCCTTTCTTTTTTTTTTTTTTTTTTCCCCCTCTCCTATGGGGCAAGAGATTAGAATATCTGCAAGCCTGCAGCTTTTAAAATAATTGCCATCCTCCTTTATTTGGTACAGGCCTTAATTGTGATGTGGGAGATGCTTCAGTATGGTTGTCGGCCAAGTTTGCATTTAGGCCTGTTTAATACAGAAGATGAGGGCTCTGTATAATTACGGTCTTCGTTCTTCTGTTCTTAAATTTGTTGTAACATACGGCTAAGAGCCTCCATGGCCTGAGAATGAAGCGGGGAAGTTTGGAAGTTGTCCGAATCAAAATTGAGGAAATGCTATCAGAAAAAAAAAGATTTGCCATTGCTCTTAAGTGCTCGCTGGCATCTCTCCACAGGCACTGTGGTTCTTCGTGGATATTCTGCCGGGGTGAAAAATCTGATTTGGAGCTGGCTCTGTATTAGATAGACTGAGCGTAGGAGCCATTTGGAGATGAATAGGAGGAATGTGGGCAAGAAGACTTAAAACCTGTCAGGGCCTTTTATTGTTACAGGCAAAGGGCAGATGGGATTTGGTGTGGATTTGACTTCAAACCTGATAAGTGTTATGAGAAAATGGACCACTGCTGCTGCTTGGAACAGCTGCCATTTTAGCATCTGAGTTCAGGCAGGGTTTCGCTGAAAGGTCTGGTCTGGATTCGGTGTTTAGTGCAGAGAGGAGCCATTTCAGTTACTCCTGGTATAAGCTGGTTTTAGTGTCCGTTTCGGGCAGAGGGTAGCAAACGGGGAGGGTTGCTGGGGGAGGCTATTGTTCAGGTAGTGTTGGTAGTAAGGAGCTTGCAGGGGTCCCAGCTGCTCTCTGCCTCAGCAGCAGATGGGCTGTGCTGTCCAAAATCCTGTGAGTGTAGCTGGGACTAGTCTGGTTCTTGGAGACTTGAAGCAGGGGTGGAAGTGAACCTCAAACGAGCTCCTGGCTGCCCAGAGCCCCGCTTCAAAGTAAAATGCAAAAAGGATGGCCGTGATTTACAGTCTGCACTGAGCTGCTAAACTGCTGACTCTCACCATGGGTCTGGATGAGCCTCATCATGGAGGCAGGGGATGCTGGAGCGTGCTAGACCAGGCAGAGCTCTTGAGGATCACGCCAGTAACCTGACAGTAACCAGTACCCACCGTGCAGTGGTGCAGCCCCAGTCCCGGGCCTGCTGGGTATCCCCTGCGCCAAACCTTCACCCGCACAAGAGCGGGGCGGGCTGGGAGGGCTAAACACAGAGAGGACGCACCGTGCCTCTGCAGGGTGTTTGGCATGTCCCCGCTGCTATTTCTGTTGGTGGAAGATGGGGTTGGTGGAAGGCTGAGGGGGAAGTGATCGCGTGCGTGTGACCTGCAGCACTGTTGCTTGTCCAGAAGCCACAGGAGGCTGGACATGAGAGCTCCTTTCTCTTCTGCCTGGGGACTTCTTGATGGGGGGAACAGCAATTAGGGTAGCAAAAGGGGCAGTTTTTCTGTTGTAGAAACGTTTTAAGTAGCCAGGATAGTTTTGGTGAGGTGAGCCAGACAAATAGAGCAGCAGTTTGGGGTTGTAAGGCTGCTGAACTGTGAAGGGCTAGGAGAGCTTGCATTGCTCCCAGCCACGCTTCTGATACCCTTCCCTGTCCTCCCCTGGGTAGGGTCAGGCTTGGGTTACTTAGGTGTGTGCCAGGCGAGGCAGAAAAGCCACACTGCAGTAGAGGACAGGGCTGGCATGGCTGTGAGGAGCTCTGTATGCGGCTCACGTGAGTGCTCGCTTCACTGAGGCTGTGCTGGAAAGCGGTTGAATATTCAGCACCCAAAGTTCTGCCCAGTTACCTGCTTTTCTCTTAAATATCTCCCCTCCTCACCATCCCCAGGTACAAGAACCGAGCCGCTTGGGAAATCAGTGTTAAAATAACTTCTCTAAGAAATCATGCTTGTGTGGTGAAAGGTTCAAAAATGGGGCCGTGTCAGACGTGAGCTTTGTGTGCAGAACAAAGGCTCTCGTGCAGAGCCATTAACCGATTTCGGGTACGTCGTCTTGCACGGCTTCTTAAATAATGTGATGAGTGATCATTCTCTGCCATCCCCTGGGGTACTGGGCAAGTAAGCAGGGAACCGTTGTCCTTCCTCAGCAAAACCACTCCAGTGCTCGCTGGCCTTCAGTTGCTTCCCTGCGTTGCTCTTGCTTGGAGGGAGGTGCTGTGTTCAGAGGCTCTGCTGGGAGCTGGGGCTCCCGGAGGCGTCAGCTCCGTGTGCCTGGGGAATGGGGATTGATCGGTGTAACTGAGGAGACAGAATCGAGGCTTAAGGATGCATCCTCTTTAATATTCCTAGCTCTCATGTGCCTGACTGCTATCTTTAAAGCTTCCTACATAGGTTTCTTTTTTTATAAAAATTTGTACTGCCATCCCAGCTGATTCCCAAGTCTGAGTGTAGTGCTCTAAAAGAAGAACATGCCTGCATCGACTAACCGAGTGGAATCAGTGGGATTTTCTTTCATCTCGGCTCTGAGCAGTCCTCTGAGCAGAAGTGGCTTGGATACGGTTTGGGGAATTGCTCCCCTTTCCAACAGCCTGAGTTGAATATGCAGCTGGGGATGCCCTGTGAGCCTCCATCTCGGGCCCAGCTGGGAGGAGGAGATGAGAGCGAGAGAGGTCACAGGTAGCTGGCACAGCTCTTAAACGAAAGGACCTGCCTTGGGTGCACTCGCATTGCTTCTTTCAAGTGTGTGGTTTTTATCTTCAGCGATGCAGCACAAAAGATGGAGGCTCTCCTGCCTCCCGACAAAAAAAAGCTGTTGCTTTTCACAGCTAATAACTTTCAAGAAGCAGCAACACCTCATCGTTTCCACTTAGGATCTCCAGCTGGGGGTTAATTCCTCCCTTTCTACTGCAGTAAAATGTGGGCTTGGTGCATGATCTGGGATCAGTGCTGTTCAGTGCCTTGATCTCCCTGCATTGCCCATCTTGAGTTTTAGCACATCGTGGTCGTTCCTGGCGTCCAGGAATGAGGCTGTCTGCAGAAAAGCTGATGGAAGAACAGTGCTTTCTGCTGGGACAGAAAAAAAAAAATCATTAAAACCTTTCCAGAATATGATGAAGGATACTAGATATTGAGTCATTGCTTCTCCTACCTTTCGCAGTGTATATACCAAGGTGTGTCCAGTACCCAGCAGCGTACGTGTGCGTGGACAGAGGACGTTTCAGCAAAAAGGTAGCGAGGTTGAGACCACAAGGGTGCCTCGACACACTGGCTTTGGTGTGGGGAGTAACTTCAGTAGGTTGGTTCAGACGGGTGTCAATGAACTGTTTAGAGGCTGGATTCCTGTTAGCTGCAGCATTAGCCTGTGCTCTCTTTCATACCGGCTGCTTTTGAAAAACAAGCGGAGATACGCTGTGAGCAGCAGTAGCAGACTGGCACTTTTATCCTGTTCTCATTTTCCACCCCTGCTTGCAGCAGTGGAGGTACCTTTGCATTGCTCCCTGTTGGAGAATGACCTATTAATACCAGTCCCCTCGGAGCTGCCAAAGCAGTTATGTAGTGCCAGTCCCAACAAAATCACTTTTCAGAAGCAGGTGGATCTTTCATGGGATCCTACTCTTCTGGAGGTCGTGGACAAACTGGCAGATAGGCTTTGTTAAGATGTTAAACCTTCGTACCCGCAGCGTAAGAAGTGATGTGCCTTTGGCTTGTGAGGTGCTCTTGTTGCTCACCAGGGATCCCAAAGACCACACTGGGCAGCGTTAGAGCAAACCCAGATCTAGTTTTTCCTGCAGAGCTCATTGGCATAGTGCTGGGGTATTTCAGAAGGGACGTGCGGGGTGGCAGGATGAGATGCATATCCGGAAAGTTTCCTTCTGTGGTTTGTTCCTAGGCCCAGAGGAGAAGGGATCTTCTCTGCAAGTGAGTTACATCAATGCATTTGTAAAGCTGCTGTTGATGGTGAAGGGGTCACTGCGTCAGGAAGGATTGCTCAGCCTCTCAGAGTCCCTTCCATGAACTGGTATTGCAGGAACTTACGAAAGAGCCTCTGTCCCCAAACCTGTATCGTGGTTGTTCTGTTCGGAGAATGTGCTTGTTAAAACAAACTCCTTGGTGACGAGTAGCTTTCTCAGACATTTCTAACTGGAAATCTGCGTTCTCAAAATCTATTAATAAACTACAAATAATTACAATCTCTGCCAGCTTCAAGGCCTATTTTTATATCATATGGGGTAAAACTGGTGCTTACAGGAATGGGGAGAAGTCTAAGATCTCTTATCAAAGATTATCTGCAGGTTGAACGTAGGAGATAGAAGGGTTTTGAGGTAGAGCTGGTTGTGAGAATAAGGCATTGGAAATTAATCCCCTTTCCTTCACAGCTTGGAGGCTGCTGTTCGAGTTCTCATTTACCTCCTTTGTTTTCTTTGATTTTTAGAAATAAACCAGAGGCAGTAGAAGTAACATTTGCAGGTAAGCTCCACAGCTCTCTTGACTTCTCTGAAAAAACAGGCTGGCTCAAGTGGGCTAGCTCAAACAGTCTGCTCACGGTTATGCCTGGTGTGCCTAAATTCACCCAGCACCCCTGTGGGGGGAGGAGAGCCGTGCAGGAACAGACGGTGTGGACACCCTACGGCGTCCCCAGAGCTGGGCCTTTGCTGGCTGCCCCACTATTTTCTCCATCCATCCACCTTCCCTGGGACTTTCCCCACAGCAGTGAGTTCAGTAGTGGCAGCGCTTTGTTCGGTGTCTACGTGCTACATAGCTCTTCTCTTTTACCTCGCCTGTTCTCCAGTCCTGCCCTTGATGCTACTTTTTATGAGGTCTTTAGCACCATCTGCTTTGGGCTGTTAGAAAGCTGGCTCGGGGTGACAGGCAAGATGAATTCATCGCCTGAAGTTTGCTCTCCAGGATGAGAAGTGCCAAGGAAGTTCAAGTGTTCATTCAGCAACTGATTTTTTGCTTCTGTTACCAAGAATCTGTGTAAGCTGCAGAGCTCCGTGGGGAAGTGGAGCTTGCGAGGTAGCTGGAGGGTTGCCTTTCCCTGCCTCCTGCCCTCCCTGCCCATTCTGCAGTGAAGTGGAAGTTGTCTCAGCAGGCAGTGGCTGAGCTGCCTTTGCTGCAGAGATATTTTCTCCTCCAGGCTGCAGCTCTGGCCCAGTGGGCATGTCAGTCACTTTCTGTGCTGGCCATCCAGAAGGCTCCCGTCTCTGCCTGTTTGTATCCTTGTGCGTTGAGCACAAACAGATTTGCCAGGGCTGCTAAATGGCACTAGAGTAAAGCTTTCTGTGATGGACGGGTGTCAAAACTGTTTCAGCCCTTTGAGTGATAACGGGTCTCCCTACATGACATTACTGCTTTCCTTAATTACCGGTTTCTCTCTTGGTGTATGTGTGAGGGCTGGAGCAGGAGGAACAGGGTTGCTTTATGATGTTCCTAGAACACGTAGGGAAAACCTTCCTTAGAAATAGGAACTGGTTCCTGTTTCCTCACATTTCTCTTGCTTGCTTCATAGACTTTGATGGAGTCCTTTACCATATTTCAAACCCCAATGGAGACAAGACAAAAGTGATGGTCAGTATTTCTCTGAAATTCTACAAGGAACTCCAGGAACACGGTGCTGACGAGGTGAGTGAGCATCTCTTGTAGGCCTTGAGCCTACAAATACTGTCTTAGCATGGGCAATGTCCTTGCAATGTTGATGGATCTAACGTCTAACCCTTAGAGAAGCATCTGTGCTCCCACTTCACGCTGGTCAGTGGAGCAGCCCGGTCCCAACCAGGGGTCCCACTTTGCTGGAAGACAAGGGCAAAGCGTGTTCACACTCTGTCTTGAATAAGGAGTCATCTTATGTGACCTGACAGCCTGAAAGGCGAAAGGCACCCCTAATTCTGGATGTCCAAATGAGTGCAAGGCCTGACTATATAGAAATAGTTTCCCTGACTGATATGCTGACTCTGCAAGTGAAGGAAGGCACCGAGACAAATCTGAAGTCCCGTGGCGCTGCTCTTCCTGACTGCCACTCTTGAGAGTGAGTGATGGGCTCGTGCTGTGTGTGCAGACCTCGATCTGCAAACTGGTTCCCTTTCTGCTGCTGCGTGAAGTAGCAGGTTCAGTTCCTGTTGAATGGGCCGGGGCTGCGGAGGGCCATTTATGGTAGAAAGAAGGAGCCTCTCTGAGCTGTGGTTGGGTGGCCAGGCAGGAAGTGTGACTCAGTTCCTGAGTCAGTTTTCAAATCTCCGCATGGTAGCAAGTGGGGCTCACCCGAGGCTCTTCAGCAGACTTTTGCCTCTGGATGTCTGTTTTCAGAGGAAAACAAAAAGACTACTCCATGAGTTCATTGTGAGTCTGGCGAGAAACAGGCGATTTGAACCCAAAGTGAATTCCTGTGAGTTGCTGCAAGACCTACCCAAGTCAGACTAAATATGACTGAATATCCTGCTTTCCTGGTTCCTATATGCAGAGCTTTCTAGGAGCAGCATTGCCCACTACTGAAGTTTCTGCTGCTGGCAAACAGGAGAATCAAGCAGCCCAAGTGGTGGAGCCCTCCCAGCATGTTTAGCAAGGATCGGTATGGTGTGTGATCCCAAGAGAACCGCTGTGGTGGGCGAGCGGCTGGCACCACTGTGCACCAGCAGCCACCGCGGTGGTAGTGGAAGGCAACTTCCCAAGCTTTTAGAGGAAAAAGGGATCTCTGCAGGACTGCCTTGGAAGTGCTGACTAAATAGGAATTACATTTTTAAATTGCCAGTTAGCAAACTGTTGCTTTCTGGAGATGATGGAGCTTGTTTCTGCTCTGTCTCTGGTGAAAGCCCACTGTGAGGAGCGCAAAATGGGGTTCCTGCTAGGACAAAGAATCTCCCTGGGCCACTGCAGGCAGGCAGTCTGGCTGTCTGCTGAGAGGAGGTTTTGGCACACAGAGAGCCCGAGCATCCTCTCGGTATGGTAGTGGGTGTCTGGCCCCCCAGGAGAGCCAGTTCTGCCACAGCGTTGTTGTGTTCTCTGTGAAATACCTCCTGTTCCCGGCCCCCTCATTGACACAGAGCTATGGCTCAGCTGAAAATTGCCATTGATGTAAAATTCAGCAGTGATTATGTTTGAAGAAAGGTTTTTGCTGCGCTGTAGGCGTCTCTGCTTCTGGGAGGCATCCAAGCTGCCTGGCAGTCTCTTCTCCATCCCCATCTGTCCTGTGCAATAGGCTGAGACAGGGCGGGTGATTGCCTGGCCATGCTGCTCCTGACCCCTGCTCTGAACTGGCCTTCCCGCAAGGAGAGGGACAGGGCATGCTTTCTGTTTGCTTGTGAATGGGAAGAAGGGTTGTAGTACTCGGATCTGTTGTGTCAAGCTCTGCTGACAGTTCTCCTTTGAAGGCAGGAGGTGTATGGAAGGGGCTTTCTTCCCCGTGCAAGTTCAAAACTAGCAAACACTTTTAAAAGTTCCAGTTTTAAATCCTGTCCTGCAGCGCATCCTCTGTCAGTGGGGTTCAGGGAGCTCTGCCTAGAGCAGGAGCAGACAGTAACACTTGGAAGGCGATGACTTAATATTTGTCCAAGTTCACTTAGGCCCGGGGAGGCAGATGCTGTAGCTTGATATTTCTAAATGGGGACCGAACATGGCCTGGGCTGTGCAGGAGGAAACAACTCTGATACCTTGTGTTCTCAATTTCTTTTCTAGGTATTGAAGAAGGTCTATGGAAACTACTTGGTAAATCCTGAATCAGGTAACCCTGTGATAATGTTTACTCTGTGTGTATGTGTGTGTGAATTCAATTCCAAAATTACTTAAGTTGTGTCAGAAATGCTCAAGTGAAGGCTGCAGTTCAAGAGCTGGATGTCTGGGGCTCTCTGCACAATAACTGGCAATTTAAAAGGTGGCTCAGGTACGCCAGGGCTGAAGTAGCTTGCAGCACAAGCTGTAATTCTTAATGCGGCCCTCCTCCGGGAAGCCTCTGTTCCTCACAGTTGGGGTCTTTGTTCTTCTCAAAGACGTTTTGTGCGACACAGGAACACCATGGTTACCTGTGACAGCATCTCTTCCTACTCACTGCAAAAACTTGGGAGCAGCTCAGCCAGCACATGTGTCTGGGAGCTCGGGAAGGAGCCCCAGGAGCGTTGTCATGGCCACGTGCCGTCTTCAGGCATGGCTTCTGGCAATGCTTGGGGCGGGAAGCACTCACCCCTGGGGCGTTTGGGAGGGCTTAAAGCAAAGGTGGTGCTGTAGGTGTCTGTTTCCAGAAAAAGTCTCTGGATTCGTTAAGGCTCTGCTTAGATTATTAAGGTTAGTGGCTGTTCCTCCCCAGGTTACAATGTCTCTTTGCTCTACGACCTGGAGAACCTTCCTGCAGACAAGGACGCTATCGTGCACCAAGCTGGCATGTTGAAGCGCAACTGCTTTGCTTCAGTCTTCGAGAAGTATTTCAAATTCCAGGAAGAAGGCAAAGAAGGAGAAAAAAGAGCTGTCATCCACTACAGGGACGATGAGACAATGTAAGTGTTCAAACTAAGCAGCCCAGGAGTCGGGACAGCTGTCGGTACACTCTCTGCTCCTGCTCACAGCTGAGGGTTGTGGTGGAAAGTCAGGAAATCCTGCTCATACTTTGGCAGGGTAATTGGGGCCTGTCCTAGGCTGTCAGAAGTATCCAGTGAGGGTAATGCTCATCCCCCGGGCGGCAGGGATGTTACACAAGAGTCTCTGTTAGTGGCAGCACTTGTGGCTGCATGCAGGAGAGGAACTGGCCACTCCCAACAGAAATGTTTTGTTCCCTGTAAATACTTTCTCAAAGGAGGGGAAAATTTCAGCAGCTAGGCCTGTGAATGGTGGTTGTATCTACTTGACGTTGTCACACAGTTGCTTCCTCATCCAGATGTGCTTAGCTCCTGTTCACAGCTGGGTTCTCTCTCTCTCACCCCCCTGCAGGTATGTTGAGGCGAAAAAGGACCGTGTGACGGTTGTGTTCAGCACGGTATTTAAGGATGACGATGACGTGGTGATTGGAAAGGTGTTTATGCAGGTATGGAAACTGCATTATGGGGAAAGGGTCTGGCCTCTCAATTTAGATGCCCTCGTACTTGAAGCAGCATTGCCAAACAAGCAGATGTTAGGCTGAAGAGAGCTCACAGGCAGTTTAATGCACGTACATGCTTTGCCAGGCTCCAGGCTGCACTGGGATGGAAGAACCATGTTAAATAGGCATAGGCGGTGTATTTTCCAATCCAGGCTCTTGCACTGGCATCTTTATTACCAATGGTCTTGCCCATATGGACAGTCAACCGTGTTATGTGTTACGGATGAGAAACACCATGGTGAATACTTCGGTGTCCACCCTGAGGCCCTGTAGTGCGGCTTGCTGTGGTGCAGGGATTGCCAGCCGGCTGAGGAGCTGAGCGTGGTGGGGAGGCTGTGGAGGGACAAGGGGTGAGGCAATGTTGTGCTGGGGATGGTGCTGAGAGTTGTCTTCACCTCGAAGTTTGTTCCTAACACTCAAACACTGCAGAGAGGCTCAGCAGCTCGGCGTGGCTGCTCACATGCCGCAGTGGGCTCTCGAATTTGAGCTTTTCAAAGCTATGGATTTGCTTAGTTTGTGGGCACGAATCAGTTGTCATAATGTCAAGTACTTCTGGACTCAGCTACGCTCTGCAACTGCCATTTGGCCGGTGAGCATTCAGAGGCCTGTAGTGAACACGTTGCCTGTCTGTTAGTGACTGTGGGCAGCCTGTGGAGAGTGAGACATTTGCTTACGGATGGGGAAGGCTCAGTGCGTGTTGGTACGTGTGTTCATCCGTGTCGTTGGTGTCACCTTGTGCCTGCTGAAGCACCTGAGGGGCCTCCTGTGCGGGCATGGCCATGGAGCAGGGCCCTGCAAGGGTGTTCCAGGGCTAGAGAGGCTTTAGCCCATCCGTTCGGGGTGCCAGGCCATGCTGCTGACAGGCTCGTGGACAGGAAGTTACTGGCCCAGTTTGCTGGATACCGGCTTACCCGTGTTGGGGTCGTTAGAACAGGGTCTGTTGCGATGGGAGTCTTCTCTCACAGCTCTGCTCTCTGTGTTCTTTAGCTATGGGCAGGGCATCTGCTCTGGCTTTGAGCTTCTCCTCACCAGCGTATCCCACAGCCTGGAGTTTGGCTTTTAAAACACGGAGGGAGGCATGAGGTGAACAAAACAGGGTTTGTGAGGCTCCCAGGGAGGCGGCAGGGCTTCAAGGCAGCAGCTGTCACAGAGTCTCCGTGTCCAAAGTTCTTGGTTTTCACAACAGCAAACCCTGCTCCTGCACAGCCACAAGAATTTCCACTCTGAGTCACGCTGGCTCCTTCCCTCCAGCTATTGCTCTTGCATAAGCAGCCCAGTTGGGCATGGTGGCTGCTCATCTGGGCTCTCATGGAGAAAATCTCACCATTAATTAACCAGTGAAGCTATTTGATCCATTTCACCCTCTGGCATAAGCAGGCGGAAGTGCAAGCTAAGCATTTTATTAAGGAAACACACACCCCCACCCCACAGCCTGCCACCCCCCCGACCCTCGGTGAACTGATCGGTTCGCTAAAAAGGGTCTGGATGCTCCTGCCCTTCCCAGGGAAGGGAGGAGAGGCTGAGGGTGGCTGATAGTGTGTAGATTGGGCTGGGGGTCAGTGAGGCAGAGGGGAGGCTGGCCTGCCTTGGGGCAGGAGAATGGTGTCTGCACTTTCCCAGCCCCACGCAGGGAGAGTCCTATAATTCTTGAAATACAGAGCCAGTTCATTTTGTGACAGGTGGGGGTCATGCTGGCTGTCAGAGGGGTTCCCTGGCAAGAAGGGATCTCTCTGCCTGAAAGTCCTGTTTCAGGGTATAGAGAAGTGTTAGGAGGAGCAGGCTTTGCCCACAAGCTTCAAAACCTCATAATGCCTAGGCAAAGACTCCTGGTGGGACATGCTTTCTCAAAGGGCAGAGCCTTTACACTAGGTGTGATGGAGACCTCACAGCCCTTTTTGAGAGTTTCCTTTCCTCTGGGGTGATGGGCGCTGCCCACTTTTGCTGCAAGCATTGATGGTGGTGACGTTCTGGCAGGAGCTGTGCTGTCTCATGTGCTTGGTCAGACGGAGGTGTCCCTTCCACACAACACTCATGGCAAGCAGCGTGACGCTGAAAGCCTTCCCAGCTGAGGGGCTGTGCTAGGGCCATGTGTAAACGTGGGACAGCCATGTGTTTTGGTCTGGTTTTGCTGGGAAAAAGGATTGTTTCCCAGAGGTTTGGCCTGATGGCCTCAGCCCATTCAGGGGGAGCTGGGAAACTTCCTGCTCAGTTGCCCCGTGGGAGTGGGGAAACCCCATTTGCTTTTCCATTGTGTTGCTGGAGTGTTGCAGTGGGACTCACCTTCCTTTGTCTTGTTCAGGAGTTCAAGGAGGGTCGCCGGGCCAGTCACACAGCCCCACAGGTGCTCTTCAGCCACAGGGAGCCGCCCTTGGAGCTGAAAGACACAGACGCGGCCGTTGGCGACAACATTGGCTACATCACCTTTGGTAAGCAGGCAGCTCTGAGGCCTGGGGACACTCGGGGAGGAGTGAGGTTCCTGCTGCTGCATGAGAAACAAAAAGGAGTTCACCTTCCTTGAGTGTTTAAGTGGGTCATTGAGGGCTGAAGGGACTCTGGAGTTGCATTCTGGGTTGTCTGCCCCCTTTGGTGTGTCTCTGCTGTATGAGCTCACTTCAGCTCTGCTGTGGACAAGAAGGTGTGGAAGTGGACAGTGAGCCATTTAGCATCTGCCTGCAGAATGAGTTTAGCTTTTGGGAGCAAGGGAAAGGTGGCTTTGGTGTGTTATTGTGGAAACTGGAGGTTTCATGCCGAGTGTATTTGTAGCTTGTTCACCTGCAGGCCCTGTGCAGTGCTTGATCAGCAGAGGCAATCAGAGAGCAGGAGCAGGGCAGTGAGTTCTGCTTCTCCAGCTCTGCTTCTTTGCTCTGGGCCAAACACTTCCATCTCTGATGAGCCGCTTTCCCTTGCCTGCAGAGGTGCTGGCCAGCAGAGTCATTGCTTCCTCCTGGGCAGCAGTGCAGAAGGCTGAGCTGAGGAGTCCAAACCCTGCCCTGTTCAAGGGGAAAGGCTTCTTCCAGAGAAATTGGGGGTCTCTCAGGCCGGCAACAGAGCTGGAGCACAGACACTGCAGGGGGAGGTGAAGTTAGCACCACCCTCCTCCCTTGCTGGGAACGGTTCCTTGAGGTTAGGGCAGCTGGTCAGCTTTGGGAGGGCTGTCTGATGGCAGCTCTGGGACAACAAGCAAGACTTCATTCTTGTGGAGATGCAATTCCCCTGTTAATCTGATGTGAGGGTCCCAGGTGAGATCATCACCCAAACAAAAAGGTCTTTCAGCCCTTGGATCTGGGACACATAGCATGGCACCAGCCTGTGGAAAGAGCGAGCTACCAGGCCCCAGCAGTAACCCAGTCTGGCGCTGTTGTGGGGCCGGCAAGCTGCCAGGCAGGGATCCACAGCCAATTCCAAGATCCAAGGGCGGAGTGGATCTTGCTCTTAGCTGAGCAGCCTGGCCGCCCTTGTCTGCCTTCCAGCTCTCTCCTCTGTTGGCTTCTCCCGAGCACTGAAGTAGCGTCACGCAGTCCCCTGCAGGGCCATCACCTCTGGCCACTTGGCCTTGCCTGCGTCCTCCGGGGTGCACAGCTGTGTCCAGGCGGCTGCGGAGGCGTGGAGAAGCGCTGCTAAGCCCTGCCTTTAAAGTCAGGTGTGCTGGGGAGGCACTAACCGTTGGTGTCATCCTCTTTCAGTGCTGTTCCCCCGTCACACCAATGCTGCTGCCAGAGACAACACCATCAACCTGATCCACACATTCCGGGACTACCTGCACTATCACATCAAGTGCTCAAAGGTACCAAGGGGACGGGGCTGGGGCGGGGGGATACAGGGTAGCTGTGGCCTGTCTAAGCTGGGTGCTGCAGGGGAGGAGAATGGGGCAGAGGTGCCCCCCTCAGAACTCACTAGGTCTGGCATTGCCCTCCCCAGTCATGCAGGGGTGGCAAGTGATGCATCATCCCTTTCTCCCTGCTCTTTGGCACAGCCAGCGCCTGTTTTCTTCCCACCCTAGCAGCAAAGTAGGATTTTTCCCTTTTGAACCTGGTTTCCTTTCTTTCTGGGAACAGACATGAGGGTAATTGTTCAGAGACCTGGCTTTGACTAGGGCTCGGGCAGCAATTTTCACTGTTGCCTCCTGAACTCCCCTCATAGCAGCATCATGGCTGTGCAGAGCTA